AAAACATCTACTTTTATTAAATTTGAAAGTCTATCATCCATTTTATAAAATTCCTAGGATTAAAATATTAAAAGCATTTAGAAAGTAATAAATTTTTTTCTTTAAAACAAAAATATGAAAAATTTATAAATTTCTTGTTATGTTTTACCATTTTTATTTTCATTTCTATTTATATTTACAATTTCGCGAAATCTATCAAACGAATATTTCAATATTATTTGAATTTATATTTAAGCACTTCGAAATCATTTTGTCTCTTCTACATGAATTCGAATTCAGAATAATTCTGCAATTGTTGTTGATAACGAATTTTCGAAATCAGTAAACTCTGCTTTCTTCAAATATGTGTCTGGAAGTTTGTAGTAGAAATGTTTTATTTGCAGATAACTATTTTAATTAAATTTCTTACCTATGATATTCAAATTTTAATCTTTTTATTTTTTCATGTAACAGCCCGAAATTATAAAATTGAATATTTCAAAGAATTGGAAAATGACTTTGTTCTGTTAATTTTATTCAATAAGACTTTATTAAGTGAATTCAATTTTCCCTTTCTTATTTATTTCTTATCAGTGCCATCTTATTCTTTTAAAACTTTTTAAGAAATACTTTAGTGTAATTAATAATTTTATGACATACTGTATAGCTGTTTAGAAAATTCAAATTTCAACATTTTTGTAGAATTGATGAGTTTTTTTTGAATAATTTTGATTAGATCATTTTAAATCATTTAATACTTTAAAAAACTATTTTTGATTAATTGACCAGTCTTTCATATTTGCTAGAGAAGTTCATTTAAGTGACCTTAAATATTTATATTAATGCTTAATATTGCTGTCTCTATTCCGAAAAATAGGCAAAAAGGATGGGAAAGGGACGAAAATCATTTGAAATAATCGATCATTTATCAGAATTGATGAAAAATATCAATGGTCAGATGATGCATCTCTAATTGCAATTATGGAAAATATGCAAATTTTAAAGCACTTTATTATAATTGATAATTATTCTATTTTTTTGTTCCTTTTAAAAATGTAAAAAACAATTCTCAAGTTCATTTAAAGTTATTTAACTCTTCTTATTTCCATTTTCTAACACTCAACACTTTTCATTTCTATTTTCCGCCAAAATTTCCAAGATAAATTTTCTTGAGAAAATTAGACAAGAATTTCATTTTTACCAATATTTGGAAGAACATATCAGTCTACTCAAATATTTTAATAATTTGAAACGAAAGGGATGAAAGCTAAAAGATTTATTGATTTATTTATTGATAATACGCTTATCAGTGAAAGATATGAAAAAAAATATGCTTTTAGATTATATAACTAGCACAGATTATGTTTTGCTATTAGATATTAGTGGACGCAAGTAATTGTCATTTTAAAATTAAAAAAAAAAGAAATCTAAAGAAAAAATTTTTTATCGGATATCAAAAAGAATTGTCCCCCATTGATTGCTATCCTCAATTAAATATAATCGCTTAAAAATTTTACAGTTTAATATTAAAATTCAAGTTGGAATAAAAGCGATTAAATTTTTGAATTATAGTGTTTTGAATTGAATATGCTCAAATATAGCATTTCCTGCTAATTGCATTAGTGGCAATTATAATTAGCGCAATTTTTGCAAATTGGAACCAAATTATTTCTCCAATATAAGAATCTTTTTTAAATCATTGAAAATTGGAAAACAACTTCTGTTGTCTGCAGAAAATTCTTGAGATGATTGAAGAAACGATAGTTAGTCAAAGTTGATCAGAGGTGAGATGAGACATAAATTATTTCGAATTTCCTAAATTTTGAGCTGTTTACTGTTTGATGTATAGTCAAGAAAATGGTAGTGAGAATTGTGTGTGTATGTGTGTTTTTCTTGCTAGCCCAATGATGGTTGAAGGCATTACAAGTTTATTGTTTACTAAATCTGATGATTTCATAAAAATTAAAAAAATTAAAATTGCAAACAATCACAATAATCTTTTCTGTTGCAAATTCCACTTTAGAAAAATGTCTTTGCAGTTTCTTTTCTGTTCACTTATTATGATAATTGTAGCAACAGCCATTTCTTATTGTTTATTAAAATTTAAACCGTATTTAATTATTAGGTTATCTTATGAAACTCCTCTTGATTCAACGATTAAATGTTGAATGATTGACCGGATCGCTGTTATTTTCGTTGCTAACAACTTCTCATTTAATTTTAACGAAATCAAATCTCAAAAATTCCTCTCAATTGGTCATTTAATGACCATTCACTTTTGCTGCTTCTTAACTTCATGATCTTAATTGCTTCATGAAACTTTATAAACTATTCACAATTTTGATGACTCTGTACATATCTGAGGAAAATGCTTCCCTGTTGTTATCAATTAATTACCTCTATAGCTTTATGATTTTCATTTTTAAATCCTTCAAAAAAAAATCGCATGAATTTGCATTTTTGTCTAAAATTCATTTCATGAACTTAAAAGGATTGTTAAATAATAAATCATCAGAAAGGAAAAAAAAAACATAAAGGAAAGTCACTGAATATTAAAAGTTTTATATTATTTAATCACATTTATTTCAAATCAAATTTCAACATAGAATGGTAAATTTTAATGAAATTCAACGATGCGAAAATTGTAAACACTTCCAATCTAACGTAGAAAGAAAATGATCACAATGAAATAAAAACAAAATGAAAAAAAATTTTTTTAAGAAAAGAATTCGAAGCGCATTGGATGTAAATGATTTGTT